AAAAAAGCATGTGTGACACTTAAGGCTTTAATAGAGCTGTTGTTTACCAATAGCGATCTGGGGCTTGGGGGAGGGTATTTTTTCAAAGTCCATTTTTGATGAAGACCTTTAAACATGCTTCATATGTTTTTACATTTTTTTTTTTTTCAAATTAGTCTTTTAGTCAATATAGGAAATGGCTTAAGTTTGGGGTCCCCCTTTTTACCCCTGTAAGCCATTGCAAACTTAACATTTAGTTGGATGCCTGACTTGTTTTTTAGTTCTATGAAACTACACTGTATGGAGAAAATCTATTGCAAGTGGTCTTTAAAAAGCAAAACCTGAGGCAGCATGACCCAGGTCCAGCCATGAAGTTGAAAAAGATGCTCTTGAATATAGTAAACTTGAAGACCTCCAACTAAAAATCCTTATACTGCACTTATTCCTTCAAATAAGTTTTGTTCGTTCAACTTATGGATTTAACGTGGCAGTGCACCATTGGAACAGAATGACAATCCATAAGCCATGCAACTTAACCATTTAAGCCATTCCAGTCCATCCTAAGCCAGTGAATCTTCCACCACTTAAGAGAAGTAGTAGAACATGAAATATGTTAAGCTGCAAGTCTGAACTTGCCTTTTCTTTCTGGAAAAGAGGGCAGTAATAGGCAAGTTTTGAAGAATTTCCTTAAGAGAGATAACTAGTTTTCATTTATTTAACTTTTGCAGGTTGAGGATTATGCTCATTATGGTCGTGGAGTGCTGATTTATTCACAGTAGATAAAGCTGGCAGTAAGAGAAATCAAAGGCTAAGGTAAGTTTTGAAAGCAGTGGCCTTTGAAAGTTTAAATGCTGTGTAACTACCACTTAGTTTAGCTGTGACATTGTAAAGTTGTTACACTTGTGGTTCTCACTTAGTCTGTAAAAGAGACTACCACTTGGAATTGAAGATGTAATAATTAAATGCTTTAATGTGTAATACCTGGCACATTCATTGTGAATGTAGAAAGGTTATGTTTCCATGAGTGTGGCTCATTCATGTGATTATTCTTAGTTATTTTTGAACCTGTAAAGCTTGCTAATAGCTCTTCATATGCAAGCATTCTTAACAGGAAGTACACACTTAGGCTCACGTCTGTAATCCCAGCACTTGGGGAGGCCAAGGCGGGGCAAATGCTGAGGTCAGGAATTTGAGACCAGTCTGATCAACATGGTGAAACCCTGTCTCTACTAAAAATACAAAAATTAGCCAGGTGTGGTGGCACGTGCTTGTAGTCCCAGCTTCTTGGGAGACTGAGGCACCAGAATCTCTTGAACCCAGCAGGTGGAGGTTGCAGTGAGCCAAGATCATGCCATTGCACTCCAGCCTGGGCGACTGAGCAAGACTCCGTGTCGAGAAGAGGAAAAAAAAAAAAAAAAAAGGTTGCTTAGTGCATTTTGTAAAAGGATATGCTTCGTTGTTACTAGTGCCTGCTCATTTGCACAGCCGCAATACAAATTGACCAAATGTGGAGTTGATGATGCAGCTGGGACTTCAAGTTCCCTGTTTGATGAATATAATTTTATTGACATGATGACCTAGTATGTGATTTTAATAGTACCAAGCTGATACCTATGGTAATTGTAATGGGGTATTTATGGTTGGTTTCTTTTCTTTTTGATGGCGTCTCACTCTGTTGATCTACCTGCCTTGGCCTCCCAAAGTGCTGGGCTTACAGGTGTGAGCCACTGTGCCTGGCCTATGGTTGCTTTTTAGAGCTTGTGTGGGGTTTGTATTTTTTTGTTTGTCTGTTTGTTTTTTGAGACAGAGTTTCGCTCTTGTTGCCCAGGCTGGAGTGCAATGGCGTGATCTCAGCTCACTGCAACCTCTTCCTCCTGGGTTCAAGGGATTCTCTTGCTTCAGCCTCGCAAGCAGATGGGATTAGAGGTGCCCTCCACCATGCCTGGCTAGTTTTTTTGTATTTTTAGTAGAGATGGGGTTTCACCATGTTGGCCAGGCCAGTCTCAAACTCCTAGCCTCAGATGATCCACTTGCCTTGGCCTCCCAGTGTGCTTGAGAGTATAGGTATGAGCCACTGCATCCAGCTGTTTTTTTGGGATGGCGTATCCCTTTGTCACCCAAGCTGGAATGCAGTGATTTGATCTCAACTCACTGTACTACAGGTGTGTGCCACCATACCTGGCTAATCTTTGTATTTTTTTGTAGAGATGGGGTTTCACTATGTTGACCAGGCTGGTCTCGAACTCCTGACGTTGAGTGATCCACCTGTCTCGGCCTCCCCAAGTGCTGGAATTATAGGCGTGAGCTACTGCACCCAGCCAGAGCTTGGTTTTAAAGCATATACTTCTATTTTAAGCTAAAGCAACAAGAAAGTATATATTTTAAAAATAGTTGGGGGCGGGGAGTACTTCACAGTAATACAAATACCACGTAACAAGATCCCATGTTTTTCATTTTGCAGAGTTGTTGAAGCAGAAGGCGGCTGATTGTCGATAAGTCACTACAGTTGCACAAGCAGTACTGTCAGAATTGGTTTGGTGCAGGCAATAGATTTTTGCCTTCAGGGATTCCTGTGGATGTGAGGAAGGCATAAGTGTTGATTAACACTCATAACTAGGGAGTGAGTGGTAGTTATTTAAAACAAGTAATTAATCAAATGGAAAAGGGGAAGTAATTAAGGAAATTGGTAAGTGGAGGTAGTCAAGAAGTTCTTGTGGTGCTTTACATAGATTTTACAGCTTTGGCTTTCATTTTGCTTAGCTAAAGTCATGGGGACAACTCTTTAATTTAGAAATTAAGTTGAATTATAAAAATGATGGATATAAGTGGTAGCTCTATCTAGTGAAGTGTTTGTCAGTAAGTGAAACATTTTTTGGTGGTAGCTTATCCAGAAACAGTTTAGTTGTAGAATAAAACAGTGACATCTGGAAAGTAACCATGCTGAGATGGCAAGCACACTGGAAATAGGCCACTTGGCTTTCGTTTGCTGTATTGTTTTATAAACCTGCTTTACGTCCCAGTCTTGGAAACAAGTTTTAGTTTATTGCTTTGGAGACTAGAGCCAGTAGTATAGTGTTCTGAAAGGAAACAGACTTGAGTTGTTGGAGTAGAGGAACTAACTCAACTTACAAGGTTTTTTTTTGTTGTAATTATGGCACTGTCCTGTTTTAACATTTGCAACTAGGGAGAGTAAGTACAACATTTTAAACTCTCATTTGAAAGACAACTACTAATCAACAGACCACAAGGATAATGACCAAATTTATGTGGTTGTTGCCCCAGTCTTCCATACTCTTATGATTACTTGGGTTAAAGCTTCTGTGAGGACCTTTTGGCTCTTGAGATATGCTAAATATTTAAGATATATCCTTAAAGATAGTATAGGATATAGAGATTGTACCAAATATGAATGAATATTAACTTCAAAGCAAGGAGTATGTTAAAATGACCAGATACCTGTGTGATGGTCATAAGTAGTTTACTGACCTTGCAGATGTGTGAAAAAAGAATCAGATCTTGATTCTTTTGGGTTTATACTGGTTGTAAAACAGAATGATACAGAAAATGTTTTTCTTGTTTAACTGGTAGTTGAACATAGAACTTGGGTATTTAGATCTCTTTTCACTTTTTGGAATGTTTTGTATTGAAACTTAATAAAACTTTAACATGGCATCTTTTTTGTGGCAAGGGGCTCTTTTTTACTTTTAGAAATTAGGGGTTTATATTTTTAAGTGTTTCTCGTGTCCCCCTTCCCCCAAAAACTAGCTCTGTTGCATTGATTGCACTTAATCAGATTGTACTTAATCAGCCTTAATGTCGTGAGCCATTGAGGCTGTTCATGTGACTAGGCCTCCTTTTTTGAGCGTGAGCTTGAGGGGTAATGTCGATGACTTCATTCAGTCCTCACTCTAAAAATTAAATGGAAGAACAATCACACACCTAAGAAGCAGAGGCTAAATACCAGGAATCAACTGTAGTGCTTTTACTTAATTCCTGCTTAAAAAACAGGTCAGCAACAACTCAGTTGTGGCTGTGGATTCCAGATACTTTGGGCCAAGCAATGCGTATGATAATATGCTTCTGAATTTAGTTTTCGGTTTCTCTGCTTTACCTAGCATCTTATGTATATCTGACTCTCATTGATCATTCGCATCTAAAACTGGACATTGCATTTGGGTTTATGTAGTCAGTTGAACAGAACTCATCCCATGGAGAAAGAAAGCAGCTGAGCATTAAGATGGCAGAAAAAGCCCTAAGTATTGTCATTCTGAAAATAGTCTCAGCTCTACCTTTTTTTTTTTTTTTTTTGAGACAGTCTCACTCTTGCCCAGGTGGGAGTGCAGTGGTGCCATCTTGGCTTACTGCAACCTCCGCCTCCCCAGGTTCAAGTGATTCTTCTACCTCGGCTAGGATTACAGGTGTGCAATGCACACCACACCCAGCTAATTTTTGTATTTTAGTAGAGAGGGGTTTTCACCATGTTGGCCACCCTGGTCTCAAACGCCTAACCTCAAGTGGTCCGCCTGCCTTGGCCTTCGAAAGTGCTGGGATTGACCACGCCCAGCCAGCCCTACACTTAACTGTTCCAGAAAAACATCAGTCTACCCATCCCATCAATACTTCATGTTGCACATGTCCGTACACTTCCCTGAAATATAATTTGGACTTTTGTATCAGTGAATTCAACTTTTATTGATTTTCAAGATAACATTCAAATCTGAAATCTTAAAGTATTAAGTGTGCCATTTTATGAACTGTGAGAAATGTGTATTGTACCAAGATAAAAACTTGAGTTTTAGCCATGTATACATCAGTTCCTTTTTACTGCGAATCATGAGTATAGTGTGCTTACGTAATCATGGAAACCTGGACCTTTTCTAGTTATTTGTTTTCTTGCATAAAGTTGCTATAAATGTTCTTAACACTAGCTTTTGTAATTACTGAGATGAAAACATACGGAATTGCTGATTCAGGATAGATTTTTGAGATGGCCAGGCATTTGGTCCAAAGTAATATTTTGGAAACGCTTAGCCAACGATGTGTGAGGTTATTTGCCCTCGTCAGTATCAGGTGTTGAAGTTTAGCCCTTATGTCCTTATGTTGAATTTGTGGCTTATCCCCTGAGGAATGAGTAGCGCTTAAAGAATGTGGTAAAGTGTACTGATCTCATGTACAGTTCAATTAGTCTTGAGAAATGCTTAGCACGTGAAGACACAGAACATTGCTCCAGGAAGTTGTGTGTGCCCTTCTCAGCCAATAGATCACCTCCTAACACTAGCAACAGACACTGACCTGGTTTCCTTCATACTTTTTGCATGTTTGCTTATATAAATTCTATATATAATTTGTCTAGCTGCTTAGAGTATTTTTGAGATTTATCCACATAGTTGCATGTATATTCCTTTTATTGCAGAGTAGAATTGCAGTGTATGAAGTAACTTTATTGATGGATATCTGGGCCATTTCCAGTTTTTGCCTATTAAGAATACTGCTATGAGTATTGTGCAAGTTTTGGATGTAACAGTTTCTTTTTGTTTTGAGACGGAATCTTGCTCTGTGTCCCAGGCTAGAGTGCAGTGGCGTGATCTCGGCTCACTGCAACCTCTGCCTCCTGGGTTCAAGCAATTCTGCCTCAGCCTCCCAAGTAGCTGGTATTGCAGGCTGCTGCCTGGCTAATTTTTGTGTTTTTTAGTAGAGATGGGGTTTCCCCATTTTGGCTAGGCTGGTCTCGAACTCCTGACCTTGTGATCCACCCGCCTCGGCCTCCCAAAGGGCTGGGATTACAGGCATGAGCTGCCGCGCCTGGCCTGGATGTGACAGTTTCTTTTGGATAAATGTCTTGAGTGGGATTTGTGGAGTGACAGGGTGTAGATAATACAATAAATCTTAAACATTGTTGAAGATTACCTGAAGAATTATTGGAAACTAAGTGAAATGATATATAATGAAACCAATTTTACCATAGGCTAATTGACACAAGAATTAAGTTCCTACAGCATATTTCTGGTTACAAACATCAAACATTTTTTTGGGACATCATACTCTTGCCCAGGCTGGAGTGTAGTGCCATTATGGCTCACTGCAGCCTTGACCTGCACTCCAGCAGTCCTCACACTCTAGCCTCCCAAGTAGCTGGGACTACAGGCCTGTGCCACCATGCCTGGCTTTTTTTTTT